AATTTCTCCAGTACCTTAGCTCACCTTTCAACTCTGCTTTCCTCTGTGTGACCATTCTCAGACTGTCTCTTGTCACATAGGTGCTAGATGGCTACTAGCAGCCTCATGCTTCCTTCCCACCAGCCAGAGAACTTGCTTTTCCCAACTTTTCCAGAAATCACAGGGCTGGCCCTATTGTCACAGATTGGCCCATAAATCATGGACCCATCTCTGGACCAATTCCAGAAGCATAGAGAGAATTGTGGGTTGAGTGGCCAGGGCCCACCCATATGTCTCCTCCTGGGCCCAGAGCCCAGAGCCATTCAAATTTGAACTGAGAGTGGGAAAGGGGAGATTTGTCAACTGAAATCAAGATTTTGTACTTGGATGGGGAAGTGACTCATGGCAAGCAATGCAATGGAAAAAGGAGTATCTTAGAATGGAATTGATACAGAAAGTAGGCTCAGATCATTCTAGATCCCTTAATAAGAGTCCAGAAAAACCTTAAGCTGGGAGAGTTTTATTTCAAAAGTCTACTCTCTACAGGTACTCATATTATGGAAGTTTTTTTATTCCCACATTTATCTCGGGCTTTAATATGCTTCAGAGTTTGGTTCTTTACTGTTGTATGTCAGAACTGCAGAATTAAGACCTTCCCTGGCTGATTGGTTAGGGGAGTCATTCATTGTCCAGGGGAAAGGCTCCTGAACTTGGAGCCTGATGATTTGCATGTGAATTCTGAGTATCTCCACTTCCCCGACTCTCAAACCCTCATGAAAATGAAATTGGTATGAAAATCAAAGGAGATAATAGGTAGAAAAGCACTTCACTGTTTCGTGTAAAATTTTAGCAGAAGACATTAGTGTGGGTGGCTCCTTACAAGTTGGTCTTGCATTATCAGCTCTATTATGCACTCCTGGAGGGAAGAGTGTGATTTCTCATTCTGTCTAGCATCCCAAAAGGCCTACCACAAACCTGGGCAGACAGTAGGATTGTCCTAATTTCTTACTGAGTAACTCAGTAAGTGAAGGAAGAAATGAATGACTTCGGGCTTAGATTCCAATACAAATTCCTTAGAATGATTCATTTTATCATGATCAAATTTTTTAACATCAATGGGTAAAGATAAAAGCCTGATTCTCTGATCTCTGGAAATATTGTGTGCAGTTCTGGGCACACCTTTAAAAGACATGAAGAAACTGGAGGAAGTGAGGAGGAGGACATCGAAAATGATCAAGGAGGCAAGGGCAGGAGTGCCATCCAAGGATAGATCAAAATGGACCCCTTTGTTCTGGAAATGTAAAGGTGAGAAAGAAATGATCAAAGTCTTTGAAATCCTGGGGTGGGGGGGATGGATGGGGTAAAGGAGATTAACCCTGCCCCCAACATCCCTTAATGCCGGCATCACAGACACAATTGTGGGGTCAATCCAGTGTGGTATTTCTCTGGATTTTAAGGTAGTTTGCAAATTAACAATCACTTTTGAACAGGCCATTTTCAAATCTACCTCAGAAATGAAGTTGTTTGAGTTACTTGGACATCTGAATTCACTGAAGACAAGGCTGAAGAGGAGCTTGTTCTAAAACCAGTTCATCTGTTCATCCGCAGAGGAGCAGATGGACAGGGCCAATTGCTGAGGAAAAACCAACAAGATCCTAAAACTTGAGGTACTAAGTGAACAAATATGTCTGAGCTTTCACAAATGGGAGGAATTAGGGAATATTATGCCCAAGTTTTTGCATCTAAGAGACCACCAAGGAGCCAAGCACTGATGCAATCACATGAGGGTTTATTTGACAAGCTTAAGCTTGGGCCCAAGTATACCCGACACAGCGGAGCAGGAACTTGGACCCTGAGGTGACATGCTTAAGCTTGGGCCCAAGTATACTTGATGCCGTGGAGTAGGGACTTGAACCCTGAGCTTAGTTAAGGCAGGGGTATTTATGGGTTTCTGTTACTAAAGCAGGGTGGGGCTTCCTGGAACTAAAGTAGGGTGGGGGTCTTTAGAAGTAACGCAGGGTGAGGCTTCCTGGAACTAAAGCAAAGTAGGGGAAATTTCAGCCCTTGGGCACAGGGGTCTGAGATGGCTGTACTTATGCTAAGGCTAAACCTGAGGTGGGATGGCCTTGATTTTTCTCAGCCTCCACAGGAACTGCCCATATAAACTCCTCCTGGTGAAATGGTAGGCTCAGTTTCTCCAAGGAGACTTCTGCAGCCGTCAGGTTTGCTGGCACATGACCCGTCTCTGTAGTAAGCTCAGGACCTTGACATCAGAGTAGAGTTAAAGTACTGGATTCATGACTATATTAGTTAAGTCTCCTTTTGTGGCAAGTGATAAATGACCTAATTCAAATGGGCTCAAACCTAAAGAGAATTTTTGTTTCAAGTTCACGCAATTGTAAAGACTAGGCAGGGTTCAGATAATGTCAAATTGGAATACTTCTCTCCCTTCCTCTTCCACCTCCTCCCCTCTTTCCTTCCTCTCTCCTTCCCTCCCTCTCTGTAACTCTCACACTGAGCTAAATTGTGTGTGATGGTTAATTTTGAGTCCAATTGACTAGACTAAGGGATGCCCAGATAGGTGATAAACACCATTTTTGGGTATGTCTCTGTGGGTGTTCCCAGAAGAGTTTAGCATTTGAATTGGTAAACTGAGTAAAGCAGATGGCCCTTCCCAATGTGAGAGGGAATCATTCACTCCTTGAGAGCCCAAATAGAACAAAAAGCAGAGGAAGGGCAAATTCACTCTCTGCTTGAACGGAGACATCCATTTCTCTTGTCCTCAGACTTCAGTGTTCCTGGTTCTCAGGCTTTCATATTCAGACCAGGACTTACACAATCAGCCTTTTGATTCACAAGGCTTTGAACTTGGATTGAATTATACCACTGACTTTTCTGGTTCTCCAACTTCCAGACAACAGATTGTAGGACTTCTCAACCTCCATAACCATGTGAGACAATTCCTACAATAAAGCTCCTCTTATATATCTGTGTCTATGTCTATATCTATATCTATCTAATCTGTTGGTTCCATCTCTCTGGAAAACCCTAATACACTCTGCCTTCTTCTCTGTTTGGCCCATAAAAGGTCATGGATTATTCTTATATAGCCTAGCAAATGAACAAAATTAGAGCTTTTTTTTTGTCTAGCAATTGTAATAAAAGTCCTAGGAGTGAGTATCATGAGAGTAACTATCTCACATGTCCATCCCTGTGGTCAAAAGAAAAAAGAAAAAGCTGACCATCCAGACCTGAGTCACAAGCTGATCCTTGAAGCTGAGAATGTGGCCAACTCATTTCAACCATATGGACGTGAAGGCAGAGACTCCAAAGGAGAATCTAAGGTGTTAGCAGAAGAGAAAAGGAAAATAGGTCAAAATGAAAATAGAAAACAGCAGAAGTACATTTCAGTAGATGAGCATGCCCAGCATCTCCACTGAAAAGGAGTTTTCCAAGTCCCCATGCAGATTTTGCACATCTTTGTGAGCCGTGCTCCAAGAGATACCTCTCTCAAGAAGCCACCACATCACCAACCTCAGGGCTCCCTCCTTTCTCTGAATTCCAATGGTACCCATTTGGCAGCATACCTTCTCTTTCCCAGGAAGGTCCTCAGGGGTGGGGACTATATGTCACACTCCTCTCAGAAGACCAAAGCAACTTGAACTAGAACAATTCAGAACATACACTGTGTACCTGGAAAATAAACCCCTTTCTGAAGAGGGAAGTGGATTTCAACTTGAATTAAAGACAAGCTTTATAACAGCAGAGCTCCTCAATAAAACGACAGAATGTGGTGCTGCAGTGAGCAATGCTAAGTCCCTCTCTCTGGATGGACACACAGGCTGACCTCTCCGTTTAAGGACAATGGAGGGGACCTATGTATCAGGTGAGTATTTGAGCCTGATGACATTAGGGTGTGGTCCCCTGGAAAAGAAGGTAAGATGGGGAGTTGTGCACATTAAATTCATTAGAGAGTGCCCTTGGGAGAATCACATATAGGACAGTGAGAAAGGTTGGATTGAACAGAGTGAAATGAGGCTTCAGCTAAGGACTTAGTCAATCCTAACAGGAATTCTGGAACCAGGAATTCTGGTTCTTCAGAGCTATTCCAAATTGAGACAAAATGCTGACATTAGGCATCAACCAGTCATCGGTTGTTAGAACTGCCCCCTTCCCCCACCCCACAAGGGTAAGGCAGTTTCCCATTCCCAAGAGCAACTTCCAGTGAGGGTTGCAGCTGCGAGCTAATGCAGCTGGCATTTGCAGCAACTGGGGGTTGGATATGTTGGCCTTGAAGAGGGGATGTGGATGAACATAGAGTACCCATTATCTATTCCATCTAGCCTAAGATATTGTGAGATGTCCAATTGTTTTTAAATCTTAATGTGAGTTATTTGGCATTCTCAATCTCCAAACTATTCCTGCCAAAACTTAGAACCAGATGTAAGTGGAGTTTTGTTGCATGATCAGTTGCACATATCAGAGTGGAGAAAATAAGAAAATAAATGGAAAAGTTAGACTCAATCACATACCTTAAAAGAATCATTGCTACTAAAAATAACTCCTTCCAATCTGACTTTGAGTCCTTCAAGTGGATCCTCCAGTCTTCCTACCAACCCCATCTCTCATTTAACTGGTTAAGATGTAACCAACAGAACAACTTTTTAAATACTGAGAGGCTCTGGTACAAACAACAACTTGGTCACTGTCAGAGCCATTGCCTAGCCAGAAAGACCACAGTGCCCTCTGACACCAATTTATGTGGTATGCTGAAAATGTTCAATAGCAGGGATTGGTGGGGGGCGGTACAGGGGGAGGAATACTTCTTATTTGTAGCATTCACCTATTTCTGTGGATAAACACTTCTACCATGGCAATTCAAGCTACCAGTATGACATTGCTGAACACAAAGCTGAAAAGATTTGTACGCAATCTCTTGCAAGTCAAGACAAGCACACTACCCACTGGTATTAACTCCAGGTTCAGATTTACCAGCCAATTGGGTTGAAATACTGTGGTGTGGTTTTGAAGGATACCTAAACCTGTGGTGATAGAATCATTTAAAAAATAGAATTGATTCTCACTGTGATACAGACACGGTCTTATTCTGAGAATTAACTTTTCCCAGTCCCAGCCATATCTTCGACATTACAGTGATGGGTATATATGCAGATTAACTTCATAAAGCTACCAGTCTAAGCTAATTTATTGCCCCAAGAGCTTTGATGCTATCTTTGGGAAAAGTCCCATGGAAAGAGAGAGAAAGCATTTATTACTCTCAGCTCTCCCGCTCTCTCTCTGAACTTGATTTCTCTCTTCTAATCTCTTTGCTTGCTCATTTCTATCCTATTACCTATTACCTCTTAACTTTTTCAACATCTCTTACATTGATGTTCAAATCCAACTATCCACTTGACTCTCAATTATATCATTCTCCTGGGTCTTTTAGAGCTTATGATTCTATACCCTGCTACTCAAGCAGCCAATGATTTGGTCCTTTATTTATTCATTTAAAGGACTATTTGAAAATACCAGAAGAAGGCATCCATGGCTCAGGCCTGTCTGTCAGGGCATGTTTGAGGAATATTGGGAAGGAGGCTTACAGATGTCTCCTATGAGGTCTGTCTTAGTCTGTTCTGGCTACTATAACAAAATACAACAAACTGAGTATCTCATAAACAAAAGAAATTTAGTTCTCACAATCCTGGAGGCTGGAAGTTTGTGAACTAGGCCTGGTATGTCTGGTGAGGGCCCTCTTCCAAGCCACAAACTTCTTTCTGCGGTAGAAGTGTCTAGGGATCTCTGTGTTATCATTTTTATAAGAGCACTAATCCCACTCAAGAGGGCTCCATCCTTAATTACCTCCCCAAAGCTCCACCTCCTAATACCATTGCTTTGAGGGCTGGGATTTTAACATATAAGTTTTGGAGGGACACAAATATTCAGACCACAGCATCTGTCCCTGACTTCCCCCAAATTCATGTCCTTCTCACATGCAAAATATGTTCATCGCATCCCAATAACCCCCCCAAATCCTAACTCATTCCAACATCAATTTAAAAATATAAAGTCCAAAGTCTCACCTAAATGTCATCTAAATCAGGTGTGGGTGAGGCTCAAGGTATGATTCATTCTGAGGCAAATTCCCCTCCAGATGTGAACCTGTGAAATCAATCAAATTGTGTGCTTCCAAAATACAATGGTGGGACAGGCATAAGGTGGACACTCTCATTCCAACAGGGAGAACAAGGAGAGAAGGAAGGAGCAATAAGCCCCAATTAGGTGCAAAATCCATCAAGGCAAATAGCAATGTCATTTTTAGAAGGCTGGGATTTGTCATGAAGACCATCTCCCAACCCCATTCTTTTAAGACCCTCCAATAGAAAATTTTCTTAACTCCTCAATCCAGACTTGTCTCATTTTGTCTCTGTTCACCCGTCTCTACTGCCCTTTGAGGAGAAAAAAGGTCTATACCTACTCTTCACCTCACGTGTCCAGCCCTTCTTAGCACAAGTCTGGGTATGTGATAGGCATTCCCTGAAGGCTTGCTAAATTGCACATAACTATGTTCTTCTGAGCAGAAGAAAGTATTTGATGAGTTCCTAACAATGATTTGGCTCTTCCGAGGATCTGGTTGACTACCCAGAGAGGCTGAAGATGGAAGGAGCATCTGCCATTATGCATTCCTTGGGCAGAGCTCATCTTTCTAGATGCAGGACCCCTGGGGAAAGAAGTAATGCAGACTTCCTGGAGAAAGCCCACTCATCCTCAAACCTGCTTTGCAAAAGCTACGTGGGGACCATGGGGCTAGCCCTCAGATGTCCTCTCAGGATTGCTCCCGTCTCAGCACAGCCAGACATCTCTGCCTCTGGTGTGGTCTGAGCTCTTCCTAAGGTCTGGGACAATAACCACAGTCCCCAAAGGATTTTCTCCTTTATTCTATCATATCACAGACAAAGTCATTCCTTAGATGTCTTTTGTGGATTGGTCTTTGCAGTTTCTGTTTCGTCTCACCTCTGTTTATTATGACTTGAATATAGAACACACGAGACGTTTGTAATCCATCGTAGGCAGTCACTGGCACAAACACTGCAGTGTTGGAGACATGATACAAAGTCCTCAGAAGAGGGGCTTCACCCCACATTGGAAGGCCTTCAAGGGAGTGATTCAGGAGGGATTAAAGACAGGATGCCAAGAAGATTTCAAATTGTATGGGCCTTCTTAGGTGAGAGAATGCAAACCAGTGGCCTGCAGGCTGGATCCAGCCCTTAGATAAGTTTGACTGACTTCTCCAGTGCTTTTCTTTTAGCTGAATTTCTTGCCAACATTTAAAAATCAAAATACTGCAAAAATATTCAATATTCCACTTTGTTTGAAAGTCAAATCTGACAATGCTGCATACATATCCCTCAAACTAAGAAATGCTGCCTCCTTTAAATGAGACATGAGATCGTAGCTTCACTGCTACCTCATCTGGCCCACTCACTGATTAACAAGTATGATGTTTTAATGTAAGTTGCTCTGGATCTTTCATGGAGCTGTTTTCTGTCCTAACTCTTGTCCCTCTTCTCTCCACACATGTACACTCTTCCGCTTTCCCCTTTCTGAGATTTCTTTCTGCTTCTCTACCACAATGCTGTCCAGGGTTAAAGCAGCCTAGTTTGGGGTTGGGCACAGTCAGTTAGACCTTTCCCTTGGATCTCCTGTTGTTATTCCAAACACCATAGACAGAGTGGAACTCACCATTTTCCACAACCAGGCTTGTCTTTCTCCACTGACCATCTTTCCAGACTCAAAACCCAGAAGCCATCTCTTTTTCACCTTCCCACATCAAGTGATTCCCCTTAGATTTGTTACTGCTATCTCTCCTCAAGGTCTCCCACCTTCCCTACAGCCTGTATGCTTGAACAAGCCCTCATTCCCTCTGATCCAGACTCCAGGCTTGGTCTCCTACCTGTTCTTCTCATCTTCATTTCCCTTCTCTCCAACTTATCCTTACGCAGCTGCTGACAATCACTTTTTTTTAAACATTTTATTTATTTATTTGACAGACAGAAATCACAAGTCGGCAGAGAGGCAGGCAGAGAGAGAGGGGGAAGCAGGTTCCCCGCTAGAGCAGAGAGCCCGATGCGGGGCTCGATCCCAGGACTCTGAGATCATGACCTGAGCCAAAGGCAGAGGCTTAACCCACTGAGCCACCCAGGCGCCCCTTGACAATCATTTTATTATCGTACTTGAGTCATGTGATTTCCCAACTTACAAGCTTTAGATGGCCACCCACAAGGTACAGAATTAGGTTATACTCCTTAGGAAGGTGTTCAGGCCTCTCTACAGTTTGTACCCAGTCATTCTCGGCTTTCTAAAGGCAGGAAAGGGGAAGTCAGAGCTGAGCTATGACATAAGTCAGACTTTTCTTCAAATTCCAGCCCCACCTTTCAACCTCTTTGTCCTCGTCTGTAAAATGGGGATGCAAGGTTCTAAACTATAGTCCCCCATTTTATATCTTCCTATTAGAATCCTACCCATCTTCAAGACCCAGATCAAGTGCCATATTGCATTGAAGGGTTCCCCCTTTGGACCAGAATATATCCTTCTAGAGCAAGGGTCCCCAAATTCTTTTGGTAAAAATATTATAGTTTTTTTTTTTTTTTTTTTAGCCATGCAGTCTCTATTCTAGCTATCCAGTGCTGCTGTTGAAACACAAAAACAGGCACAGACTTAAGCAGATGAATGAGTATGGCTATGTGCCAATAAAACTTTATTTATGAACACTGGGATTTGAATTTCATATATTTTTGCCTGTCACAAAACATTATTCTTCTTTTGACTTTCTTTCAACCATTTAAAAATATAAAACTCATTCTTAGCTCATGAGCCATACAAAAACAGGCAGGCGGTGGGCCAGATTTGGTCCATGGACCTTAGTTTGCCAACTCCTACTCTAGAGTAATTATTTATAATTATTCATTCTTATTTATTTTCTCTCTCCCTCCCTCCCTCTCTCTCTCCACGTCTTCCTCTCCTACAGATGCTGAGCCCCAAGAACAGCCATATATTCACTTCTCCACCACCCAAGCCTAGCATAGGAAATCCTTTCTTCAAAACCACTACACCTAACCCTTCTGCTCTAGGACACTGCTGCCAAGTTCAGACAGCTCTCGGATCCTGCCACTGCCATCATGGTTTGGGTACACTCACAGGAAGCATAAATGACAAAAGAGAAAACAGGTTTTCAGGAAATTTCATTTTCTCATTGACACCAGGAGAGAACATCACCATGTATTTTGAAAGCTGAGGGAAGGGTTTTCTCTAAACCCTTCAGATGTCAAAATCTTGGTGCCATATTTCTGAACTGCCATCCAACCCACCACCTGGAAATGCTTTGTTGTAGACTCTGCTACCTCCACCTCAGCCTGCAGCCCTGAATGGGCATGGATGGTCATCCTATTTTTACAGCTGGGAATCACTGCTGATCGAGGTTAAATAACGTTCTTAGAGGCTCAGCATGCCAAGGAGAGAAAGCCAGTTGTCTATGCAATTTTTCCTCTCCTAGGGCTAAAGAGTTAGAAGTTCATCCAACACTGCAAGCAATTAAGTTGGGCTTCATTTGCTGAGTCTGGGGCAGACAGCCTGCTCTGCCAGGAGGGTGTTTTTATCATAAATTCTCCTCTACCCTGGGGTTATGCTCAGCATTTCCCTGGGTCTTCAGAACCAACTACACTTACTCTCTTGGCCTTCCAAGAGTTTAAAACACATCAAACCATTTAATGCATCTTTACTGGCTCTCGAGATAGGAATACTTCATTTGCCTTTCTGGGATAAATCCCCCCTTTCCTGGTGATGCTACCTCAATTTTCTTTTGGAAGAACAACCTCTTCCTCATGCTTGGTCCCTCGGTTCATGTAGATCTCACCTTCCAGTTTCAAAAGGGACTCATGACTCAATCCTGACAATCAAGAATATGTCATCCCCCGGGCCCCTGGGATCAGCTCCTAAATGGAGCTGACTTGAGTCAGCAAACTGAGGTAAGACTGAGGGTTCTGTGGGAATTACTAGCAAAGAGAAACAGTCTGTACACTGGTTGCTGAGCTAGGAGGACAGCAGCCTGGTGTTGCCAGGGCCATCTTGTGAAAAGTAGACACAGAAGGGCAGAACTTCAGGGCAGAGGAAAAGCAAGATATCACCCGAGTTTCAGGAGCCATTTGTGCCTGAAGCCTAACCATCTGCCTTTTAAATAAAGAAACTTTGGGTTCTTCCTCTGGTCGGAGAGGGTTTTAAGGCCTCACACCTCTCCTTTTCTCTAAGCTTGTTACCCTCACTTTCTACTCCCTCCTCATGTGACTTCCTGTGTCTTGAATTCCCCCCGAGAATGCTTCCAAATCTAGTGCAGACTTTCAGGCTCAGGGCACGTTCCATGGAGCACACCAGGGATCCCACAAGCATCTGCCTTTCTCTGAATTACCACATCAAGACCGGACTGGTCCAAAGGAGATGAACAGAGGTGGATGTATTCAGAATATCTTTGGGGATTACAACTAAGAGGTTTTAATGATGGATTATACAAATGTGAGACTTTGTGTGACACCAGTGTTTTTTGAGCTTGTCGCGTCCATTTTACCCTCTGTTGTCATCATTTTTCCCCATTTAAATTTCTACAAAATCAAATGCATGATATATATTAAGGATGTCTCAATTCCATCCTCATTAGCCTATGACAATTTCACATCCTGTTATTTTATGTAGATAATAAGAGGACACAAATGAAAATAACAATGACTCAATATCCTCAACCACAGTAATGAAAGTACTAAAAGAATTCAGTAAAAGTGAATATTATATGTTACACTATATGCTTAGAGCAGTGCTTAGCACATAGTAAATGTTCATAGTAAATGCTAGCTATCACTACTGTTCCTATTATCACTAGCAGTACTACTACTATTTCTTCATATTAATATGATCATAAATTCAAACCTGGGCACTGACTTATGTGACAAGAATCACGTAAAGAAATTATCCTAATGATCTAGACTATGACCATGTTAAATCTTTTAGGTCCTTTTCAAAATGCGAACACAAAACTTAAAAGAAATCAAGATCCTGAGAATACAGAAATGTCAACTAAATGTGCTAGGAGTTAAAAGTCTGTGCCTATAATGTGC